CCTTAAGAAGAACGGGAAGGTCAGGGTGTGTATCGACTTTAGAGACCTCAACGCTGCCTGTCCAAAAGATGATTTTCCCCTTTCTATCACAGATGTCATAATTGACAATACGTGCGGGTTCGAGAGGATGTCTTTCATGGATGGTTTCTCTGGTTATAACCAAATAAAGATGCATCCAGATGATGAAAAGCATACCGCGTTTAGAATACCCCTCGGTGTTTTCTGCTACACGGTCATACCCTTCGGCTTAAAAAATGCAGGTGCCACATATCAGCGAGCCATGTCGAAGATTTTTCAAGAGCATCTCCGAAAAACTGTCGAATGTTATGTGGATGATTTGGTCGTGAAAAGTCGCGATAAGAAGGATCACATCAAAGACTTGAAGACGATGTTCGATCTGATGCGGACCCACCAATTGAAAATGAATCCTACCAAGTCTTTCCTCGGAATGTCCAGTGGTAAATTCCTGGGATTTGTCATCACTACCAAAGGTATTCACATCGACTCTGATAAGGTAAAGGCAATTAATGAATTGCAGCCTCCGAGAAACCTCAAGGAGCTCAGAGGATTGCAAGGGCGGTTAGCGTATATCCGTCGGTTCATCTCGAACCTCTCAGGAAAATGCCAACCATTCTCCAAGCTCACAAAGAAGGGCGTATCATTCGTGTGGGACGACGCTTGTCAAAAGGCATTCGAGAGTATTAAAGAATATCTTTCAAAACCTCCTGTGCTCGTCGCACCGAAATCAGGCAAACCGTTCTTGATTTATGTCAAGGCGACGAGCCACTCATTAAGTGCATTACTTGCACAAGATGATGATAACGGTCACGAACAGGCGGTATATTATTTAAGCCGGACCATGGTAGGCGCTGAATCTCGATATCCTATGATTGAGAGAGAATGACTCGCCTTGGTATTCGCTATTCAGAAGATGTGGCATTATCTGGTTGGACAGACCATTTATGTTATCTCTAAGGTTAACCCAGTCCGAGTGTTCATGACTCAGCCAGCATTCATGAATTGGCGATTAGCAAAGTGGGTCTTACTCTTGTCCCAATACGACTTACATTTTAAACAACAGAAGTCGGTAAAAGGACAAGCCATCTATAATCTCCTGGCAGCTAATCCAACTACGGATACCGCCGAGATATATGACGACCTACCTGATGAGACCCACAAAGTCAACGCAACTTCACACCAGCAAGTATGGCGTTTGTACTTCGACGGCGCTTCACGAGCAACTAATGTAGCGAGTGCTCCTGGAAGTCCTAAGATTTCTTCCGGAGTTGGAGTTGTCTTAGTTTCCCCAGGAAAAACACGTTATGCCTCGAGCTTATTCGTTGACCGAACCGTGCTCAAATAACGTAGCCGAATATAACGCATTACTCATAGGACTCAGTTTCGCCAAAGAACTGGGGGTTGAGTACCTCGAAGCCTTCGGCGATTCTCAACTGATAGTTAAACAAGTTCAGGGAGAGTACGAAGTCCGAAGTCAGGATTTAATACCATACCATAAGATGGCAGTGGAGATGGCAGAATCATTTGAAGGATTCTTTATCGAACATATTCCACGGTTACAAAATACCTACGCAGATGCATTAGCAGCATTGGCCGTATCCCTGGCGCAACCTTCTGAAACGGAATAGTTTGTTACAGTGAGGACTCACCAGCTCCTCGTGCCGATCTATGATGAAGAGGACGAGGAAGAAGATATTAAGGAAACACACTCAACTCAAGTTGAGTTTGAACCCCGAGATTGGCGTTTCCCCATCATTGATTACGTCTTGCATGGAATCCTACCAGAAGACATGAAGGAAAGAGAGTCAATCCGACGAAGAGCACCAAGATTCTACTATAATACGGAGAATCGAACGCTATACCGCAGGGGGTACGATGGGTTGCTAGCACGTTGCTTATCAACTAAAGAAGCCGAAGAAGTCCTTAGAGAGGCACATGAAGGAGAGTGTGGCGCGCACCAACCTGGCCCCAAGCTTTATGACCGCATCAGAAGAATGGGATATTTTTGGCCTTTAATGATGAGTGATGCAATCGCGTATGCCCGAAAATGTCATGCGTCTCAAGTACATGCAAATTATATGCATCAACCCACGGAGAACCTGCATCCTTCGGTTACGTCTTGGCCGTTTGAGACCTGGGGAATGGATATTGTTAGTCCTATAAATCCCCCGTCAGTCAAAGGTGACCGGTTTATCTTGGCAATTACCGACTACTTCTCCAAATGGGCTGAAGCGGTTCCGCTCAGAAAAGTTAAAACGAGTAACGTCATTGCATTCATCAAGCACCATATCATCTACCGGCATGGTGTCCCAAGACGAATCATACATGACAACGGTCCTCAATTCGTTAGCAATGCATTCATCAGGTTTTGTGAAAAGTTCAAAATTCAAGACATCTCGTCGACAGCTTACAATCCCACAGCGAATGGATTGGCCGAAGCCTTCAACAAGACTATCATAAAGCTGTTATCAAAACTTGTGAAAACTAATAAACGATACTGGGATGACAAGCTTGGCGTGGCTCTATGGGCCTATTGGACCACGGTGCGCACACCGACGGGAGCAACCCCGTATTCACTGGTATACGGATGTGAAGCCGTTCTTCCATTGGAGATTCAAATCCCGTCACTTCGAATTGCCCTCGCGACTCAAATGACGACTGAAGAGCAACATCAGAAGCGCCTTGAAGAACTTGAAAGGCTAGATGAGAAGCGGTTAGAAGCTCAACAGCATATCAAATTCTACCAAGCCAGAATCTCTCGAGCTTTCGACAAAAAAGTTCGACAACGAAGCTTCAAAGAAGGGGATTTGGTTCTAGCTGAAAGGCGGCCTATGATCCTTAACTCCAAGAAGAAGGGCAAATTTGAACCCAAATGGGAGGGACCATTCGTAGTAGAGACAGTCTATTCAAGTGGCGCATATCGCTTAGTCACCAAGGACGGTGACCGGCTTATGATGCCGCGCATATCGCCTAGTCACCAAGGACGACGACCGGCTTATGATGCCGATAAATGGCAAGTTCCTAAAAAAATACTATCCTTAGTATCTTCAGGATAACCAATGTATCGGGAAGTTTCCAGAAGAACATCATATTTGGTATTCTTAGGGATAACCCAATCATTGTAGAAGTGATGAATAAGAAATCCACGTTCGAACTCTGAATGTCGGAATGTTTCTTCTTGTTATTGTCAGATTCTCTAACTCTCATGAGTTATTTTTGTGAGACGAGATTCAATCCGTTGATAGGTTAATCTTTCCTCACCAAACCATCCGCTGATCAGATCAATGGACGGTGGATCCACCAACATTTCTATCCGTCAGTCATTGGCGTTTCTCAGACTCAACATGTTAGGTCCTAATCACCTAGCGTTAAAGTCTTCCTTTGAGTGATAATACGAGTTGGCATTTTCTTTGCTACCTGTATTCCACTCTCTTTCAGGTCAAACCTATAAAAGTTAGGGCCAAAGCCAAATTCCTCTCTCGATTCCTGCCATGAACGAGAGGTCCACTTTCAATTCGAACAGTCAAACCTATAAAAGTTAGGATTGTTCCCGATCTCACTTAGTCAAACCTACAAATAGTTAAGACTAAGATCGAGTCGTTCCTTTTCGATAAACGAAAGCCTGCCTTTGTTCCTTTTTCACCAAACCTATAAAAGTTAGGGTCGAAATTGGGCTTTCTCCTCAATGAATGAGAGATTCTTCTGATTCAAATGACCAATCCTATAAAAGTTAGGGTCGTTTGAACCTTTCCGATTCTCGGAGTGGAGATCCCACTCTTAGTTTCATCCTTTCGGATTCTGGGGGTGGAGATCCCACCTTGAGTTTCCTTTCCGACTGTAGATAGAATATAAAATTCTTCCTCTTCAGTACCGAGAGATAGAATATAAAATTCTTCCTCTCCCATTTCCTAGTCTGTCTTTGCTCTTAAAAAAGACACAATTCTCAACTTCCAATCCGGACACTTGGTGCACGGGGAATTTTATCTCGACTCCTAAATAGAGATAAGCCCCGCATGCTAGCCCGATTCAAACGGTAATCGGTAAAGGCACATCAAACCCGTTGAAGGCTGGGGGTTTGCCAAAAATCCCAAAGTCTATGTCTAACACGCATTGCCGGTTTAGTCTTTCGCCGATTTAAAAAGACACCAGGGTCTAAGCCTGGGGAATTTTATCCCGAAGCCTAAGAAGGGATAAGTCGTCATCTAATACGCGGCGCGGGGTACCTTTTCCCTATAAGAAATGGTTAAGTCTATGTATCCAAAAGCATAGCATCAAGTTTAAGAAAAGCGATTTTCTTAGCGCAACGTTACATGTGAGACGGGTTTTAATAATTCACATGCTAGCCCGATTCAAACGGTAATCGGTAAAGGCATATCAAACCCGTTGAGGGCTGGGGGTTTGCCAAAAATCCAAATATTATCATCGCTAAGGTCAAAATAAATAAAGAAATATCATAACTGAATCAAATGCGGAGTCTCTATTAATAGATAAAGTCAAAGCATACAATAAAAAGCTCATTAGCCCGAAGGCAGCTGACGGCTAAGAACATGAGACTCTAAACTAGAAAGCCTATCTATATAACTCTGCTCAAGTTCTGCCTGCAGGCCAGCTCGGATGGATTCTTCAGAACTGCTCAAGATCTTCACGGCTTCTTTTTCAGCTTCATCAATCTCTCCTGTATAGATCCAGCTTCTCGAGGGCCTGTCCACGAGAATGCTCTACTCCAGCCAGGTCTTCTGTAATAATAGTAACAGACTCCTCGGCGTGCCTCAAGGCCTCCTTCAACCTAGCCACTTCCTCGCGGCCGGAATCCAAAGAGCGGAGTAACTCGGCTCTATCTGTATCATTCCTCGCCACGGTAGCCATCAGCTGCGCAACTGAATGCTCATGTGACTGAATCTCACTGCCGACGGAAGATCTCAGGTCGCGCCACTGTGCCAGCCTATGCTCCATCTGAGAGGACACGAAGGAAGAAGCTCCATTAGTCCTCAATTCCTTTAACTCTCAGATCTCTGACTCCAGAGCAGTAAAATCGGCAATGAAGGAATCAACCAACTCCGAATATCCTTCTTCTCTAAACATCATCATGTGACAAGAAAAGGAACGCCTGAACTGATCAAAACAATATCCTCGATGAAGCAGTTTCTCGATCATGCCGTTAAAAAAGGCGGTAAAAAAGCCGAGGTCTATACGGAAAATGTCTCTGTCTGGATCGGTATCGGCCAAGAGGGCGCGAACATGCTCATATAGAGATGATCGAGATCCTACAAACAACAGTATGGAAAGTTAAGATAAGAAAACTTAAGAGCAGATTCCGAGCATACCAACGCCAGCGGAGGCCCCCTCGGATTGAGGTCTGACAGACTCTGAGATAACGGCAGGAGTAGTCATGGAGGGTATATCAACACCTGTAGGCAGATCAGTCTCAGAAACTATAGTGCCATCAGGCACAACGGCTGGTCCTATAGTTACACTTCCTTATTAGTCAAAATGGAAATTTAGACAAAATAAGGAGGATCAAGATGATAAGATCATCTACATACCTGCAAATCCATCATCCTCAGGTACACGGGGAATGCCAGGAGTCATAAGGGTATCAGTCCCAGTGGCTGATCCTATGATTACACCCATCTATTAGTCAAAATCAGACAAATGAAAAGGAGCACGATGTCTCTAGATCGTATGCATACCTGCAAGTCCGTCACTCCGAGGTAAACTAGATAGGCCGGGGATCATTACTGAATCGGTCTCAATGACTGGTACTGTAATATTAATACTTCGTTAGTTGGACAAAAGATCAGGCAAAAGGAAGGGAATCAGATATATACCTGTGGATGAATCACTCTCAAAGGGTGGTCCCACGGTTTCTCTAGTGGCCTGTTCAGCCAGCATGTCAACTAATAATCCAATGTCAGGTCCCGAGAAACTTGGTGCAGGGACACGCCCTTGTTCTTCGAAACTTACATCATGAAAGGCCCCGTCCCCAACTGGCTTCTCTATTACAACATCTGCAGGATAATTTAAGTGTTGGGTATATGTATAAGAAAATAGAGAAAGAAAGAAAAACTCAGACATACCTGCAGAAGGAACAGAAAATTCTTTCTCCCCAATATCCATGCTTGGGTTCTTTAAGTTACCTGAAAGAGAGCGAAGCACAAAAAAAAAGTAATGAATCTTGGATTCCCTAACTCTTCTAAACGCTACTCGAGGAAGGTATCACCGGAATTAGATATACCTGAACGTAGCTCAGTATCAAGGTTCATATCGACATCCATGGAATCGTTATGAATGGCGTCACACATCTGCTGCATGAAGCTATCCATATTATCAGAACCAGGGAATACAGGATCCGGTGGAAGTTCGCCGTCTTCATAGTATCCTGGAACATAAAACCTGGTTACAAATCCCAGAAGGTAAATCATCTTAAAGCAATAAGGACAACAAAGTATTACCTTCCTCTCCGTCGGCGATGTCTCCTAAATCCACTCTGTAGGGGTACCGACCAACGTGTGGTTTATGAGCGGTCTTCTTCTTTTTCGGAGTACCAGCCCTCATAGAACCAACGGGTCGTTCGTGCATAGACTTGCCATGCGTCTCAACCTGTGTAGGAGCTTTGCCGCTAGGCCCGGATCCTGCATAATGAGAAGCGAGCGACTCATGCTCATCGACTGTCCTACCTGGGGGATAAGAGTCATTTCGTTAGGATAAGTGAACAAGACCTTTCGTTGATACCAATTGAAATTGAGGAAGAAGGCAAAAGAGCATGACAAACCTGCATTAAGTTCTTCTTCGTCAGTATCTATATCCACATATTCCTCCTCAGAAGTCTCGTCCTCATCATCAATAGGAAGGAGCTCTTCATCATCCTCCATCCTGTCTCTGCTCGAGAGGGAAGGTTTGGCAGGCTTCTTAGGTTTGGCAGGCTTCTTCCCCTGTTTCCTAGCAAGCTCAGCCTTACGAGCAGCCATCATAGTAACTTGAACCAAGTGCTCAGACTGCAACTCTGAAAGACTCCTCACACCTATGGACTCATTGGCAGAAAGAAACCACTTGCAGCTGAGGAAAGTAATCAACGGCTTGCGTCTGGATGAAGGAAGAGCAAACTGGGCCCCAGTACAGCCCACCATGGTCCATAGCCATGCTCGAACACCGTCAATAAGCCCTCCTTCAATCTTTAAACCACGGCTCAGGTTCCCAACATATAGTTGGTCGTAGCCAAACTGACGAGCAAAACGGCTGGGGAGGTAAGGCTCTATATGGCAGCGATTCTTCACCCGAAAAACGAGATACCCGACGCGGATGTTCACCAACCAGCGGAAACAACCAACGTCGAGAGCAGTCCGATTAGTTCTGGGCTTCTCCTCATCAATCAGCACATCACCATAGCGGCCCGAAAAGCGAGGAAAACACTTGAAGAACTCCCAGCTCTTACGAACTCGAAGCTCTCGTTGTACATCACTGAATGTTTTCCCGAGCCATCTGCTCCTCTCCAACAGCTGTACGAAAGGAACAGGGGCATCAACAATGCTGGGCGCGGACATCAAGTCAGGACGGTGAAGAACGAGCCACGCCATCAGATACGCATAAGGAAGCTCGACCTTCACACAAATAAGCTCGGCCGACGGTTCAGAACCCACCTGCTCAAAACCGTTGACCAGATACCTAAGCCCACAATGAATGTCAGCAACCATTGCTGGGAGCAGGGAAAGCTCCCTCCCATAAGCTAGCTGGACTGCAGGGAAGAGCACCTCGAGAGGTAAGGCGTCTGACTGCTGATACGGAACGACGCACTTCTTCAACCAGAGGGCGAGATAGCCTGCTAGCAGAGTCCGGGGCTCAATGGACTTCTGTGCACGGCGAAGGAACGAACGAAACTTGGTTCCTGCAGGAAAAGCTCCCTCAGCACTGGCAATGGTGTAAGAACGAGCCTCAGCCTTCTCCATCAACTCATTAACGGCGGTAGGTGTCAGAACATCTAACTCACGAATGAGCTCGCTGGAATCACCCTCCAAATTCTGGAACAAATAGACAGCAAACTGCTTCAAGGTCAAGCTATTCTGCTTTTTCTCTTGCCTGAGAAGAATACCTTGATCAGAGAAGTATGATAAATGGAGGTGTAGGTCCCAAAGAGGTATCTAGCATATCGGAGTATCCTTCTTCAACACTCCAATTGCTGGTTTTCGAGGAGTACTCCTGGTAATGGACAGTCCCCCATGAAAGGGCCAGAAACCTGATACATCTCATGCAAGGCAACGCCGCAACTCTCCGCCGTGGTCAGGATGTGTTACTGTCGCAATTATGTCTCGCTCCAACAATGCCTGAAGAAATGGCGACAGCTGACTGGGAGCCCATACATTGGTTGGCTCGTATAGGTAGAGTTACAATCCACTGCTCTTCAAATCCTCTCCGCGCCCCTAAGGACGTAATGCTGGTATGCGTGTCCATCATGCCTTGGGTTGTGAGAAAGCCGCAACAGATAGCATCTAAAATCTTGGTGAGGTAAATCTCCTCCCAAGATGAGGACCAGACGTTCTTCAGCGGTAGGTAACGGCTTGCTGATACCTGCCTAGGGGGTGCGGTATTTAAGACCCATAATCCCTGGTCGAAGACCGCGAATGTAATGATACCCCATAGAACAGAGTCTTAATGTTGGATGTATATCAATCCTGAAGTCGATCAGCATCACTCGGTAAGACGCCAAGGGCATCTGTCTCTTAAGACGGCCTGTCCCTCCAATTGAGTGAAAGAACACTGACGAGGAATGGAGGGAATATACAGGAGAGGGCGTCCTTCATCAAGATATCAGCCAATGCTCCTCGGTAAGAATTCAACTTAGCAGGATCCTCATATGATCTCCAAACAGAAAACTGGGCTTCTTTAAAGCCTGAGTAGAAAGGAATCCGTAGTAAAAGACAGCATTCCGTAATTAGCTGGCGTAAGCAATGACGCCGCTCCATCCGTTCAAACGACAGATTCATCGGAAACGATCTCTGTCAAACTGAGGGAGTAGACCATAGCCTGCCTAATGGAAGCCGAAGAGAAAGACTTACCGCTACCCAACCAGGTAGTGCATGAGGAGGGAGACTGGCCGTGGGAAGCTCGACTGCAACAAAAACAAAGGATGAGTCAATCCATCTCATAAAAAAGCGAATAAGATCATTTCACGGGGTAATTGGAGAGACGATTTTGATGTACCTTACACGGAAGACGGAAGCACATCAACGTAGCATAACGTGGGTAACATACAGCCGACGCTACAAGGTGTAAAGACGACACATAGATCGCCAATATACGAGAAGTTGAATTGGCTAAGCAAAACAAGCGTTAAACCTCACCCTCGCGCGAAGGAGGGTGTCGGCCCTTTCCCGATGACGCCCGTGAAGGGGCCGAAACGAGGGTGTAACAGAACGGCTACCAATATCCTGAAACGCTCAATCGCCACGAAGGAAGATGTCGGGTGCTTCTTAATGACCCGAAGGATCAATCAGGGATATCAGAAATAAAGATTCTCACCCACCGAAAAAGGATGCCGCTGGAGGGGAGGAATTGCTGTGGGAACTTCTTCCTCGCTAGGCTGTAATCGGGAGCGACTCTAAGAGGTCGAGGTCGACGTGTGAGACAATCGAAAACCTGCAATGAAAAGCAGCAAGTCAGGTACAATCTAAAATATGAAATACACTACGAAATTTAAAGGGAATTAAGAAACTTGAACAAAAAAAAGATTAAAAAAGCTAAGTCCTATGAATAAATAGATTTTATGTTGAAGTCTAATTAAACCTAACAAATTTCGTGCATACAAAACAATGGTTGTACATTTTTGCAGGTAAATCTTGGTGAAATACCCAAAATGCCCCTCGTGTTCAAGGCTAAATTCGGTCAAGGACACGCTCTAAGGGTCTGGTCATCATATTTGATCATCTAATCACCCCAATTTTGTTTAATTTTACAAATAAACCGGCTTTTTTGTAAAATTTTAGCGCGATTTTGCAATAAACCCCTCAACAACTTTTGGTCTCTTGCTAAAGCACCCTCAAATTTTCGACCAAATGGACATCAGTAATCCAAATCCTAATTTCAGTCCTTTATTACATGAACAACCACCTAATCTCCGACCATTTTGCAATAAGCCCCAAAAAGATTTCGCCCATATTTGCACATAACGCCTCAGATAATTTGTGGTCTTTTTGCATGAAGCAGCCCCTCAAAGTTGTGGCCAAGTGGTCTAAAGCGCAGAGCCCAAAATTTCAGTCGCATTTTGCAGTAAAGGCCCTACAAATTTTAGCCCTCTTTTGCACAAAAGCGCCCCCATTTCGCCTATTGGCAATGTTTTGGCATAAAACTCCGGCAAATACTTGTGATACACAATCCATCGCATCATGAGAGTAAAAAGTTTAAATGATTTTTCCCTTTGGGGTAAAATGTAAATTCCATGTTATCCCCATTACAATGCATAAAGTGGCAACCTTTTTCAAAGAAAAAGAGAGAGAGGCTTTGAGAGGAAGCCTTACCCCAAAACAGAAGCTTCTTTTGACTTGAGAGTGAGGAGGAACCTAGTTGAGAGGGAACAAATTTCGGGCTAAGGGAGGGGATGCAAAAATCCGATTTTTTTTTTTTTTTGGTTTTTAAAGGGAAGAAGTTTCAAAGGGTTTTAGAGATTCTTCTGAAAAAAATGGTGGAGGGATAGAAGGAGGAAGAAGAGTTTGAGAGGAAAAGGGAATCTCTTTGAAACATATGGAAAGAGGGGAAAACAAAGGGATAACAAAATTAAAAACAAGAAGGAAGCTAAGAAGAAATACCAAAAAGGAAAAGGAAACAAAAAAAAAGAGGCATAGAGGGGGAGGGTGTCCTCGCCTTGAACGGTAGACACCTAGGGTGCTCGGCCAAGGTTGAGACACCCCCGGGTGCTCGGTCTCATTTAGAGCCCGACCCGATCCCATTTCAAGTCCGAATTGCCTAATTTTTCGTCGGTCGTTGGATATTTCGACGAAATCTACACTAAATCAACACCGAACCGATCCGAAACCACCCTAAGGTCAAACGCCGGTCAATCGCGTTGCGCAAAAAGTAACATTCGACGTTCGAATAACCCTAGGGTCAAGCCGATGCACGCGTAACCTAGTCAACACGCCTGTCAAGCGTTACGACAAAAAGTCACATTCGAACGTTCGAAACCCTAGGGTCAACGCCGGTCAACGCGTTGCGAAGCAAAGTCCCATTCGACGTTCCGAGAACCGCTAGGGTCAACGCCGGTCAACGCTAAATCCTAGGTCAAGCCGGTCACGCGTTGGCGACCAAAAAGTCAAATTCGACGTTCGAACCCTTAAAAAAGGGTCCAACCCGGTCAACAGCGTAACGCCGCCTAGGGTCCAACGCCGGTCAACTCGTTGCGACCAAAAAAATCAACATTCGACATTCGAAAACCCTTAGGTAACGCCGGTCAAACGCGTAATCCCTAGTCAAACGCCATCCAACGCGTTGCGTACAAAAAAAGTCACGTTCGATATCGAAACTAGGATGCAACGGCCGGTCAACGCGTAACCTAGGTTAACGCCAGTCAACGCGTTGCGACCAAAATCAACAATACGGTGATCTAAAAACCCTAAGTGCATCAATATGAAAGAGATTAGTCAATTCAAAGTCAATGACACGAGCCAAACTCAATTCACTGGTTAGTAGACTCGGAACTCCGACGACGCCAGGCGATAAACCAGCGCCGGAAGAACTTCGCTTTCGTCAAAGCATTGAATAGACGAAATCGAAGGAGCCAAGAGTTGAAAGCTAACTATAGCCTTTACGCCGACTGAGAAGGTGGAACGCAATCACATCCAGTATTCCAGCCTCTTCTCTATAAAAGAAACGAGGTCTGGAACGCTTTGGAGGGGGTATCTGTAGGGCATCGAAAATTGCCTATAGATCTCCAACGAACAGTTCAGTGTTAAGGAACGACGATGAACGTCACTATCCGGTT